CCCTTACTTATAATCCCCTGTAAATTCACCCAAAAAGTCACGAACTACATAATATTAGTTCTTACAGACTGACATATTTCCCTGATCTTTCATGAGCCACATGGGGAAACAGTTTTCGCCTGATCTGAATGAAGAAGAAAAACAGTGATCCTAATCAACCGTTTACCCTCAGTGGCTTCCCTAAACAAATCTGGGAAAGAGCTTAAAGGCTTGGGAATATCCTCGACCCTGCTTGATGCACTGTAATAACCCTACCTAATTATACTGATATAAAAACTAATTGGAAAGATAGCAAATGTCAGGGTAAGATGCAAATTGTAGGGTGTTAATTGCTGAACAGGTGCTGGAATAGAATTAAATGAGCATCTTGATTAGGAGAGTGGAAAAAACAAATGTGGACCCCGAAATCAAGTTGGCCACGTGAATTATTTAGCAGCCTCCTTGTACCAGCAAAAGGTCATGTTGATGTGACCTCTGCTTTGTGATGAGTGGGCTGACAAAACAATAGTGAACTCCAGGAGAAAACATGGCTTAGGAGAGAGATGAGATTATACAACATAGGAAATCTTCAGTGGGGTAAGGGAGGAGCTTTTTTGACTGGTAGACTTCTAGGTGGATAACACCTAGTAGAAAGTTTTCCATATGGATCGTTGTGGTAATACAGAGCCACTAGGCCTAAAGCTGGGGAGTCAGGTACACCACCCAGTCTTCTTCCGACCTTGAAAGCACAGAAACAAGTTTACTGCCATTTACAGCAAATATATTGGGATACGAATACTGGTCCTAAACAAAAATGGACTAAAAGCCAGTTTTTGTATTTGCACAGAACTTAGCAGCGTTTTCATCCACAGCCAGGAGCTCTTCAGTGACGCTACCACGGTAGTAAATTATTTTTCACACCGGCCCTCAGAAAGCCATCTCATGTTTCAGTTGCCACTGAATGACCAGCAACCAGATCAGATCAAATAACATCAATTAGAACCAGCAGTCTAGAAATAAGAGACCTTATCATTAGCAGTTATTTTTTGGGGCACACAAGTAGAGTCATTTTCATGAAGGATTTAATGCAGCTTCAGTTATCACTAATTTTGAAGACTTCACTACTTTTTCATAGTGAAAAAATTAGAATTTTGCAAGAGCATGCTGGGGGTAGAACAAGGTTTTATAAAGAAAACCTTTTTATTTTGAAAGATGGTTTCAACAAGTGATAGAACCTACTGAAGTCTTTTTGCCAACTAGGAGAAAAGATACAAAAAATTCTGGAAACTAATTTTTTTTTAAATTACTGAAAAGATTTAAACCGTTATTCAGTTAGTTCTATGAATTAGTTTATGACGCATCACACTGGTTCAAACAACTGTGGCATGGGGAGAAAGGAGACCTTTTCCATTGAGTTCACTTAATAAACAAACACACCTCGATGGATGACAGCAACACTATCAGGTGCTAACTGAAATTATGGCATTATTTTAGGAGTGGCCGGAGCCTCAGCCTAAGCAGGACTCCAATCCATTAGTCGCTGCAGAAAAAGCCCTGCACTGCAGAGCTTCCAACAGAAACAGAAAGGATAGAGCAGGAAAGACTGACACACAAGAACAGGCCAGTTGTCCTGGTCAGGCTTAAAATATCAGGAGCCTAAAAGAGACCTTAAAATTAATACAAGCAAGAGCCCAATTTAAGGCTTTTAATACTGCCAAGGAACTGCAAACGACTCACAGCATAAGAGCTTCATCTTAATCTTTTCCCACACAAACTATGTGCTCTCTCTCTCAAGTATTGCATTCCCAAATGTTCATGCAACACGGCACTGCAGTTGTCTATAGACTAATTCTCCATTAAATAAATTTCTACAGATCAGACCCTTTTTGCAGAAGACAGAACTAAGCACAGAGTTCATACAGACAATCAGACATTGCTTCCAATATCCCTCTGGCACCAGGTACTGGATGGTGTTAACGTGGAGGTGAGAAGATGACCACCTTTGCTTCTGACAGTTCCTCAAGAGGCAAACTAACTCGCACAAGATGACAAGCCGGTGACAAAACGAGACACTGTGCACAAGAGAGCCAGCTCCCTTTTCCCCACCCAAACACCAGAAAAATTCAATCAGGTATCTGCGACAGTGCCAGGTCGTAAGAAAGGCATGTTTCTGCTCCAAGAAATGCAAGAAAGGGACAAAGCTTACAGTGCATGCTCCAAGGTGGGTCTGCACACACGTCAAGGATGTGCTGCCAACACACTGCCATCAGAAAGGAAGAGATGCCATTTCAGAGGAAAACGAAACGTTTTACACAGATCTTTGGGGGCAAGGGGAGAAGCCAAAGACTGAACACTTAGATTTATGACACTAAGACCTGAAGTCCCCTGTGTATCTAGAGGATATGATACACCATGGGTGACAGGAGAACAGAGTGGGTTCCGCACTGCGATGCTCGGTCTCTGGGGATAAAACACCAATTCATTACCAGCACACCATCCTGGGGGCCTCCGCTGCTGGAGGAGGCAGCTGCCAATCATGGCCCATTCTGCAGACTTACATTTAGTGCTCGCAGTGTGGGCTAGAAGCAGCTGCAGGGAGAAACAGACTCAGTTAATTCTTCAAGTTCAGCTCTATGTCTTAGAGGGGAAGGGCTGCAACTCAAATCAAGTTGTCTCTCCGCTGACTTCAGCTTTAACTCTGGTGTTCAGGGCCATTACAGATACGCAGGGTGTACTTGAAATGCTGTGTCTGGATAGGGAGGAGAGCATGAGAACAGAAAGACTCAATTCATGTAGGGTTAAGCTGAGCAAAATCTTGCTAGTCTGTTAAAATCCTGTAGGTGTGTACCTGGGTATGATCATGGCTGTGCTGCGGGCTATTTTATACAGCTATACGGAACTAGTATGTTCACAACCATCCTGTACTGCTCTTTGCTAGTGCTGACATTGTCCCAAAACAGCTCAGGAAACAGCTCTACATTTCTTGTGTATAGAAAAACAACATGCATGAAAGATACAAGGGATTTTTTTAATTATTATTTTAAACACTCATATTAAAGCTCGCGGGAAGATAAAACGTCATCTGCAGCTTACAGTATATTAATGGGAAGTCTTTCACATGCCAAAAATACAGGAATATTACTGAGCTCATAAAAACTCATTCAGAAGCTAGAAAACACAGAATTAAGATTAAAGAAATAACTCTAATTTAAATCCTTTTTAACATATACAGCACAGTCCTTAATTACATTATAATTCCTCCCCAGTGTCTCAGCACGTACCTCGCCCCCATCCCCGTTTTACCCGCTCATGCTGGCTGCTTCGTGCCTCTTCCCCAGCCTCCAGCTGAGCCTGGCCTACTATCAGGTCCTAATCTTCCAGTCAAGACTCCTAGTCCAGTATGGAATTCCTCACCGGACCTCAAAGCCTAGTTCTCTTGACCAGAATTACCATTTCCCCACGTTGCAAGTAAGCCATCAAGAGGATGCTCCCAAACTACACCCAATGTACATCCACAAGTGTCACAGGCAAGCCTTAGCTGATATAAACTATCTCAGCTGCATGACAATTCACCTTAGCCAAGGAATTAGAATCCATGCTGCTCTAAAACGAGCCTTGATCCGTGCAAACAGCATTTATATATTGTCTGCTTTTCTCTTGCTAAAGCAGTGCTCCCAAGTGGAGCAAAATAGCCACCCAATGTACAAGTGCAGAAAGAGACAGAGCTTCACATATTCGTATGTAACACAAAGATAAATTTTGCCAGTGAAAAAACCAACCCTGAAGCTACAGAAGAAAATAAAGGGGACACAGTCACATTAGCCATCACAGAAACGGTTACAGTCACTGCTTCTGAAGGGCAGCTATACTCTGTATTTTAGGCAGTTACCAGGCAGGGCTCCTCTCCTGCTCGTGGAGTTTGGCTTAAGCAAAAACTGACAGTGGTACTTTTTGAAGGCACCGAAGCAGAGCTAGAAAATGAGAAAACCAGATGTCCCTGAAGGAATGCTGGGAAATGCCTGAGATAAAGGGGAGGGAAAAACCCAAAACCAAAACCAACACCTTTAACAAAAACGTCCTGGTGGATATTTTTTTTTGAGGTTCTATGTCAACAAGTGACACTGACACAACACTGTATACTTTTTCTCCCCTCTTTAGCAGGGGAATTTTGACTGACCAGCTATTTTGTCAGCGTCAAGTAGAATGATTTATACTGGCACGGATTCAACCTTAAAAGTCGTCATTATTTTTCTTCAAGGTACTAAGCACTTATGTTCTTAATGAGAGTAAAGATTTGAAACAACACCACTACTCAAGTATTCACTCATATTCCAAATTAGTCTCTAGCACAATCTAGTTTGAAGATGCAGTGAAATTTCTAGTGGCTATAAATTCAAGGATCATTTAAAGCTGTCCAGAATAAAAACTTAAAATAGATCCATAAAATAAACAGCACATACGAAGGATTTATCAGTCGTCCAAAACAGTACTTTTCGTTTTAGATTCATGTAAGCACAAGAATCCCAAGTTTCATCTTTTCAAGAAAGGAAATTTCAAGAACTGCAGTTTCTTACAGAAAGTTTGCAAACGTGAAATAAACCAGAAGCCCAGATGGAAATCTCAGCAGTTTCATTTTTCTTTTCGGGACTTAGTTTCAACAAAATATTTATGTACGTGCTTCTTGATGTTGATGCTAAATAATAACAAGTGCTAATTGCTTTGCTGAATCGGGACCCATTTGCTGAAATAGCTTTTTATCAATGTTGCATAAGAAAACCTAACGGCATCTCCTCAAAAATAATTAAATCCAATTTGTATTGGCATCAACGCTCTCAGCTTCAAGTCTAATTTCTTTATGCCATCAGCTAATTTCATCTGTTCACTGCGTACTGGCTTTCAAATGCTTTAAACGCCTCTGTAATTACGCTCCCTGTGCCACCTCTTTCCAAACACTCCACGATCTTCCTCCAAGGTTTGGTGTTTTGGAGAAGAACGTGTGTTTCTGGCTAATGCAAACGTACCTTGTGCGGCCACGCTTCTGCGACACAGCTCGTGGGTACAGAGCCACGAGAGCAAGGCAATAATTTCTTCCCTTTCTGATACGAGCCTCTTGCAGAGCTGCAAAGATGAAGACAAGGACCCAGAAAGAAAATATGGTCGTGGAAAACTTTTCCCCTGGAGCAAAGGAACAGAGCTAACTAGAGCAAGTGAACATCTACAACAATCAGGCTAAGAAACCAGCTTGGTGGTGCAGTCAGCAGCAACCATGCAAAACAGAAGCGTGTGGAACTGATGGCACGTCCTGTGGAGAAAGTTGACTAGTTCTTTGAGGGAAGCACCGGGAATAAAAGGGGAAGACTGTCAGAGGAGCAACTTCCTATCAGGCCACAGAGCCTGAATCCTGAAAGGATATGAGGTAATCGATGAGATCATTGTAGTTTGCTTGGGATTCACATTTCCAAGGAGAATAGTTACTCTATTCTTTTTCTCTTTAAAGGGCTGAAAAATTCACGGAGCAGAATCTTCTGCCTTCATGCCAAAAACTGAGCAGAGGGAAAAGGGCTCAACATTCCACAGGCAGCAGAGCTGGGGCCACTTCACTCATTGATGACCCCCCCAAGGCCATGGGGGTAGGAAGCTACAACGCTTTGAGCTGCAAAGCTTCTATAACCCAGCCTCTTCCAGCTCAGTCACTGGGCTACTTTTTCAAAAATAAATTAATCGGTACTTAACTGTGTGAGTTAAACTGACACCGTGGTGTCTAAACATGTGAGCAGGAGTGTTCTTTTCAGAAAGAGGTCAGCCTGCGTGGACTGACTCCGCTTCACCTCAGCTAGCTGTCAGCGTACTCAAAAATTTTCTCTTCTGGTTGGTTACAGACACCATCAATTTAGTTTATATACTAT